CACCTTGTCAGAGGGAAGAGAGATCTCCAGAGGGTCTAGTATTGGTAATGCTCCAGGCAGTGCTACTTATCATTTGTGTTCTCAGATCACTGGACAGAACTAACGGTCACTAGGCCTCTTCCTAGGATGCAGGAAGCTGAGAACATCTGGTAACCAGCAGTATTTAACACTGAAGAATCTTCCTTTCTTGCTTAAACAGTATCTATAAAATGAGTTGTAATGCGCCAGCGCCGCGGCTCACTAGGCTAATCCTCCGCCTTGCGGCGCTGGCACACCGGGTTCTAGTCCCGGTTGCCCCTCTTCCAGGCCAGCTCTCTGCTGTGGCCCAGGAGTGCAGTGGAGGATGGCCCAAGTACTTGGGCCCTGCACCCCATGGGAGACCAGGAGAAGCACCTGGCTCCTGCCATCGGATCAGCGTGGTGCGCCGGCGCAGCGCACCGGCTGTGGCGACATTGGAGGGTGAACCAACGGCAAAGGAAGACCTTTCTCTCTGTCTCTCTCTCTCACTGTCCACTCTGCCTGTCAAAAAAAAAAAAAAAAAACTGTAATGCAACTTAATATGTTAATGAACTGAAAGCCTAGCTTAGAACTATACTTTTGGGACAAATAGCTGAGCCTCAACCAATCACAGGAGCAAACTTCAATCATGGGCAGCCAACTGATTAGACCATGTTCAAATAAGGCAAACAATGAGCTATAACCAAGCAAGCTGGTTTCCTTACCTCACTTCTATTTTCAGTTCATAAATGAAGCCTGTCCATGTTTGCAAAATGGAGTTCTCTGAACTGTTCTGATTCTGAAGGCTAGTCAATTCATGAATTATTCTTTGCTCAATCTTAGCTGTTTTAAATTTAATTTGTTTAAAGTTTTTCTCTTTGTATATGTTTAAAGTTCCTCCCACTCTCTCTCTCTCTATATATAGATACATATATCTATAGATATATGTATCTATAGATATATAAACACACACACACACACATCACAGCTACTAAAATTTTCGGGATCTGTATAATAATAGTGTCTTTTGCATGGTAATATGATGATTGGTGGCCAACAGTCTCAGTATGGAAGCTAATTGCTAGAAAGCCTTTGGATTAAAGGGTTGGGACTCCCTCACCCCAGCTTCCAGGGAGGGGAGAAGGGCTGCAAGTTGAACTGATCACCAATAGCCAAGAATGTAAGCAACCATGCCTACATAATCAATCTCCATAAAACCAAAAATGACAAAGTCCAGAGAGCTTCTAAGTAACTAAACAGGAAGAGGTGCCTGGAGCTTGGTATGCTGGAGAGTGTGGAAGCTCTGTGCCACCCCTCTCCCCCCACAGCTTGCCTATACTTCTCTTCCACCTGCTACTATCTGAATCCTTTACAATAAGTGGGTTAATGGAAGTAAAGTATCTCCTCGAGTTCTATGAGCTACTCTAGCACATTAATTGAATCCAAGAAAGGGATATGGGAGGTACAAATTATGGCTGGTTGGTCACAAGGATGAATGACAACCTACAACTTGCAACTACATA